ACGCACTGACTTTTCTTCCTACCTCCTATTACACTCCGCCTTTCTCCAATCCACCTTCACCACTGGATTCGCCTTCCCTCAAAGTCCCAACTTCGACTCCTACCTCACCCAAATTGGTTCAAGAACGAACGAGATTTGCCGATTCTCCTTCTCCCCGCCATCTTCCTTCCCCGCCATCACCATTGCTCCAGTCGCGTGCACCTTGCACACAAACCCATCCGGGTTCGTCCACCATTTGCGCCACCCTACCTTTTCCCTGTCTTCGCCTTTGCCACGTCCCTTGCTGCACTCCCCTCTGCTTAGCGCAGTCCGGTGGCTCGCTGCGCTATCGCCCGTTGCTCTGCGCTCTCTTACTCCGCACGCACCTCGCCGAGGATCACGTCCAGGTTCGCCCCTAGGTACTACCTCCCCGTGCCTCACCACTCCGTAGTGCTTCGTTCGTCCGCCCAACTCGTCGTTGCTCTCATCACAGCGCTCTTCCTGCCTGCGCTGCCACCTACTCCGGCTCCTCGTCGTTCCCCCGCCTTTGCTTAGCGCAGCCTGGCCCTTTCGAAGCTACGGCTCGACAGAAAAGAAAAAAAAGAACCTCAAAGAGGGAAACTGGTTGACTGCCGGCCCTCTCGGCTCTTTATGCACGCCACCTTTTGCAGGGTCATGCTAATCTTCCCTGTATCGTTCCAATTTTAACGAATGTCCCGAAGGACTCAAACGGGGCAGCCCCCGTCGATTTACTCTAACGACGCCGTAGTGGTCACTCGCGCCCCACCGTGCGGGTACCTGACGCGGTCCTATCTTAACGTTCTGCTCCCTTCCGGCTACGGTCGGAAGGTATTTTCCCACCACCCTCGCTACCCAGACCAAATACCGCCCGCCACTGTGCAGATCGGCAGGGAAGAAACGGCCCCGATACCTTCCGCTCCCTGTGCTTTCGTTGTGACACTGCACCCCTTGGCGTTTTTTTGTGAGACGGGTAGGATGGAAGAATTTCGCCGGCATACCGAACGCACAGCAACCCGTAGGCCAGCAAAGAGAGGCGCGTCCTCAAGGTCCTCGACTGCCGGAGCGGCCACTAAATCCGGCACCACGTTCAAGCCAAATGGGCGTCGGGGCACATAAAAAATATATATATATATATATTAATATTACGACGTAAAGGTGATTCACTTAGAGAAAATGCCACCACCGATCGAACGCCGTCGATGGCAAAACCAAAGGGGATAGCCCCACGGCCCTCAACCCCATCGGCTCCCTCCTCAATGCTCCGCTGCCGCTGCGTCGGCGCTTGCCGGCCTCGGCCCCCGAGCCTTCGTAGTGTCAGTCCAATGTCGTAACCTATAGGGCTAAGCCCAAGCCTGAGACCAGCGCCCGCAGAGTACCATACAAGACGGTGCGGCGCGGCGCTTTGGGCCACCAAACTGGCTGCGCGGCTCCCAGTGCCCGCGCCGGCTTGCTTATACCATGCCATAATTGCCCCGTGCGCCATCCTACGACATCCGGCTCACCGCACGAAATCGCGCCATCATTGCCGATGCCGTTGTCGGGGTCGTTCTCCGCACGCTCGGTCGACTTGGTCAAATGTACCAATCAAAAGAAAATATCCTTAATTCCTGCTTAATAAAAAAAAAAATAATAATAATAATATCACCAAGCAAAACGACCGAGGTCCGGGCCGGCTTTTTGATCAACAACAGAAAAGAATCACGCGCGCCTTAAACCTGCGCGCCCACACACTCGCTATTGTGGTCAACCACCTAGTCAACGCAATTACTGACGCAGCTGCGCTTAGCGCGGTATACTTAAATTCTAGACCAAAACTATTTTCTATCACTTGCAAAAACCAGGGCGGATACCCTTGTAAGGGTATTCGCACCGACAGCTTATCGGACCATGTTAAGCGACGTCCCCGTCGCTTCGCCAAATCAGAAAGCTATAAATCTATTCACACTCCAAATGCTGACGAGAAAGGAGCCAATCCGATTAGCCGACAAACACAGGGTAGAGGCCTCCATCAAAACATGCCTCCACAACTATATGCTGCCAGGTTTCTAACATGGGCCTCTCACGGCCCAGAAATTAGGACTCTGACCGCATAAGTTCCAAAGACCTTCCCAATCGTCCTCTCCGCGGTCCTAGACAACCTTCGGCTTCACCTTGGGTGTCCCTAGTCCTGGCAAAAAATAGGGACGAGGGTCTTAATCGAGACCTTTTGAAGACACTCTCGCCTTCCTTCTCAAAATCTCTCGCAATCAAATACACATAAGTATATATGTATACTTAATATCCGCTCAGCTCTTTCTGCAATCCAGTACAGAAAGGCTAGGTCTCCACCTTGGCCCACCATAGCCAGGCTGATCGGACCGGGACCACGGCCCACCGCATTGTTATTTAGCAGCAGTACCCTTGTTGGTTATGCAACGATAGATTTTCTCCTGATAAGCATTCAATCAGGATTTTTCCCAAAAATTATCAACCATCACTATCCCGCGGAGTAATTTCACTGGGGCGGGCACCCCCCCTTAAACTCTTACCCACTAGGTCCCGCAGCCAGGTTGCGCCGGCCAGCAGTCATCCAATGGGGTTACGCCCTAGAGGTAATAACTTTTTTTCCGTTAGCTTCATCTTTCTTCAATATGTCTTAGAATTAGCACCAGTGGTTAGACGGGGGCGTCGCAAAACAAAATCACTGGCCCACTGCGCGAGACGCAGGGGTCCGAAGGCATTTACCAGCCCTCCCTCAATAGGCATGACATCCTTCGCACGCTTACAAACAAAATCACCGCTAAATCCACCAGGCCGTGACCCCTGACTTGATCAGAGCCAGCAGCCACCCACCCTGAGACATCTCTCGCCCTGCACTCACTGCGACTTTCTCAAACATTCCAAACAAAAGTGACCCTTTTCGTCAGACTTTATCACTCATCAGACAACTTACCATGCCATAAATCAGTTTACTCACTTTTAAAGGAGAGTCTTCCAACAACAAAAACATCCTCTTTTCCAAAAATCCAAGGGGCTCTCATCATAAAACAAAACACCCCCTCTTCCAAAAATCACGAGGGGTCTCACCACAGAACAAAAACACTCCCTCTTCCAAAAGTCACGAGGGGTCTCATCATAAAATCAAACACACCCTCTTTCAAAGTCACGAGGGGTTTCGTTACAACACAAAACATCATAAAACATCCCCCTTCTCCAAAATCCAAAGGGGTCCCATCATGAAACAGAACATCACTTAGAGACCATCTTATGGGTCCTCATCACTACTTAAGCAATCAACAATCAACATGGTAAGCATTTTGAGCCACAAGGGCTCATAAATCTTCAAAATCCTCACAACCTTTCACAGACGGACTGCACTTCCTCCCCTTATACTCTGCCTTATCAGCTGCCCATGGGCAGGTCGCACAAATATACCGAGGAGTAGACAATTTTGCTTACAATCATATTCACAGTACCCATGACACATAAAATATTTTTCACATATTGTCCACACAAACTCATCATACATCAGAGTACAACCACACATGTGAGAGAGACAAGTGATCGTCACATATGAGAATGATCCCTGAAATAGAATCTCATCATAAAATACACTCAGGGAATAAAATGTCTTACACAGAAAGTGTCTCCAAATCATAGCTCACTCAATTCAAGCCACACCAAACCCACACTGACAAGTACCCCTAGAATACATGTCATATCTGTCTCTCAAAGCCTGTGCGTACGCCACCTAAATATGTACGTGCCTCATCTACATCACCCTGATCCTCAATACTCTAGCTCAGTAGGAACACTAGAGTTCAGACCTAGACTAGTAGCAATCATCAAAAGGTCCTCTAAATCTAAGAGGGTATCACACAGAACCGAAGCTGATGCCTCACAAAATACTCGTCCACTTACATAGACCAAACGACCCTACCTCCTCAACTCCTCCTGGTTTTGCCTATATAACTGAGCCCTAAGTCCATCGGCGGACTTCTCTACTATCTTACCCTGTCTATCATATATCTTATCCACTGCCTCTGAGACCTTCCCTTCTGCCTTATCCTCAAGGAACTCGAGACAGTCCAAAGCCAGATGCGTGCCCCTCTTGCAGTAGAAGCATAGCTGATCAACCTTCCTCTTAAACTTCTTCTTCCTGGGCTAAGGAGGTGGCGATGAAGGAGACCCTACCAAGGTACTGACGATCCCCTGCTGATCTGATCGAGGAGCTGCGGTACTAACGACCTTTTGCTGCTCTGATCGAGGAGTTGTGGTACTAACGACCTCCTATTGCTCTATCCCAGGAACCGGTCCCCCAGACCTAGATCCAATAGCCCAAGATCCTAGTCTGCTCCTCAAATCCCCTGTCGCTGGGACGCACTCAGGCACGTCCAACCTCTGAGGTCTCCTCTCGAGCATCTCTCCTGGCACCACCACGGGCTGATGCTCAATCTCCTCTGGCTCATACTCAGGCGTGTCCAGCCTCTTGAGCCCACCCTCGATGACACCCTCCGCCTCAATCCCCATCTCTTTCTCAAGAGGCTCCTCTATCCTCTGCTCGGGTGAAAACAAACTCGCCTCCTCCTGCATGGTATGCACTGCCTCAAGGAGCACGCTCATGGATCCCTCTGCTGAGCCCTGAGCCGACTCACTGCTAGATGGTGGTAGCCCCTCCTAAACTGCCAAAGGTACGATTGGGCCCGTCGTTGCTACTGGCAGCGTCGCGAGCTCGGTAGGGGCTCTGAACTCGAACGCCTCTCTCTCCGCCTGTCTCTGGGCTCTCGCCTCCTCTGGCTCCAGGATAACTCTCCCCATAGGTGGCTCCTGGCGAGACTCTGCTGCAGATGGTTGTCCTGGTAACCCATGTTCTGGCTGCCTCTGCTCTCCCTGCCTGCTGCTCTCTGGTTTGTCCACCTTTCCCTGAGTTTGCTGCCTCAGGCTCTCAATGATAGCTGTCTGGCTGGCCACCAATGCCCTGAGTTCCTAGATTTCCATCTCCATAGCCTCCAGGCGTACTCCATGGCTTGCTTCCTTTATCTTCTTCCCTGCCAGATCACCCTCCAATAACAAGTGTCGGTCAAAAGTTGTTTTGGCCAGGAACTTGATTTTTCGATCCAATCTCTCTTCCGCCTTTTTTGCTACCCCAAACCCGGCTCTGACTGGCGAAGGACGCTCCTCTCCTCTCTGGTCCCAGAAGTCCCTCCACATCTCAGGGATCTCCGGGGCCCTGGCTGGCGCGCTGGGTGGCTGACCTGGGAGCGTCCCTGCTGCCTCCGATCTCTGCCTCTACTGCCGCTGCTCTGGAAGCTCCCCCGCTGCCTCCAACCTCTGCCTCTCTTGCCATATCTCGTCTATCCTCCTGGTTCTTCTCGCCCTCTTTTCCTCTGCTGTCTCTCCAGCTGACGCTCTTTCCCTCGTGCGGAGATCGACCCTCTTCGGAATCTCTGCCTCCATCTCCTTCTCGGGCTGGGACGGTTCCTGGCGCGGCTCTACAGGTGCTGACTCTTCCAGGTCTGGGTGCTCCAGGGCATGAGCTGCTAGGTGCCTGTCAATCAGGGTCAAGGCTTCTCTTCTTATAGCTGCTCTCTCTCTCCTCCTTTCTGCCCTCTCTTCTGGCGAAGGGGTCTTTTCTGATGAAGGCAATGGGGCCTCCTCTCTCTGCAACCTCTCCCCTGTCGGGCGAGTGCTCCCTGGTGCATCCCCGAGTCTCAAACCCACCGCTGGCGTCTGTGGGGGCGTGTCCTCTCCAACCTCTATCACTTCCTTCCCTGCACGTCTCCCCTCATCGCCCAACCCTCTCTCTGGCTGGGTATCTCGGACCTCCTCTCGTGGCACCTCCTCTTGTGGCACCTCCTCTGCCTGCTCTCCATGCTCCTCGCCCCGAGGCGACGCCCTCCACCGAGAGATATCCAAATGCGTCTCCAATTCCCTCAAAGGCCCCTCTGATGCTGGCGGCTCCTCCTGCGTGCGTGATGGCGACCTCCTCAATCCACCCTCGGTAAACCGATGGAACTCCACTGGTCCCAACCCATACTCAGGGTATGTCTCTCGCTCCTCAGCCTCTGGCTCCGGCTCCGGTTCCTCTTCTCTCTTGGCTAGGGCCTTCCGTCCTCCTCGAGATGGTCTCGCCTCTCTGGCTCAGGGTCCCTCTGCCTCTGACTCCTCTGACGCCTCTCAATTCTGGGCTGAGGGGGCTCTGGCCGTCGAAAGACCTCTCTCAGATGTGCCCTGCAACTCTCCCAGTCTCGGGCCATGCCTCTGACCTGCCTAGCCAGCGGTCTTTCCGCCTTCCTGGCCCAGAGTGGTAATGTCTGCATCCAATCGTCTCTCTGTATACCCTGCCCCTGCATGAACCACTCAAAAGCGGGGATGAAGTCCGACGCATTCCCAATCTCTAGGCGGATCGGCCTGCCATCAGGTCCCACAGGCGAGGGTCGCAGCTCCTGCATCCTCAACTCCACCTCTGACCTCGTCGTTGCCTCTCTACTGATCCGTGCGATGGGCTCCTCGAATCTGCTAACTCCCCTCAGCCTCTCAATCCCCTGGGTCACAGTCCAGCCCATACGTCGCGCATGCTCCCAGAAGTTGTCTAGGAATAACTCGATATCGCCACTGTCGTACTCTGGAGTGCTCTCTCGATGGCGAGGCCCATGCCGCTCATATCCTCCTAATGCCCCCAACGCCCTCTGAGGCGGCCGTGTCCCCTTCCCTCCTCTTGGCATGACTGTCTTCGTAAAGTCAGACCTGCACAACAGGCGAAGGAGACAACAGGCACATATTTGGATAAGCAAACAGGTGATAGTCAAAGCAAGCTCAGACCAGACCACACTCACGCAACATGCATCCTACCTAACCTACACACCCTATCACTTCTATTATAAAGGTAGTTAGATCATCTCTCTTACCTCTTCTCTCGCCACAAATTTCTTCAGTCGAGTTCCAGATACCCAATCCTTCCACTCAGTCCCATTTAGCTCTTCAATCTGGTATGCTCCGAAGTCTCCAACCCGTACGATCCGGTAGGAACCTAACCACCTCTTATCGAGCTTCCTAGACCACTGCTTCTCCAAAGATGAATCATAGAGGAGCACGACATCCCCAACTGCCAACGGTACTTTCCTCACCCGCGCAGACTGATCCCATCGAGTCTTATCATCCATTCGGCTTCGCGACACCTGATCGGATGCCTCCTGGATCCTTTCTTCTATCGCCCCTATCTGCCGCGCCCGAATATCGAGCAGTTCTTCAAATGACAGGCTAACTTCCAGATCCTGGTGCCTCCATGTCTTAAGAAAACTTTCGATAGGGAAGGTGGCGTGCCTTCCATACCACAGCGTCGCCGGTGCGTACTTGGTGGATCTTTTTACTGTAATGTTCTCGACAAAGAACGCCGCCCTTAGGTATCTTGGCCATTGATTAGGCCTACCTTCGGTCCACTTAGCCAGGAGGCTCGTAATGGTACTGTGTCCTCTCTCCACGGGAGCATTTGCCTGGGGGTGCGCGGCCGTGGTGTAGTTGGCTGCTACACCATACCTTGATAACAATTCTTGCACCTCCTGACAGGTAAACTCCGATCCCCTGTCCATTATGAATTCCCTGATGAAAGGATAGTGTAGATAGTACTCCTCGATGCAGCTTACCAAGACTGACCCGGTCTTTGTGCGAATAGCACGCCCGTCTACGAAGCCGGACAGGTTATCGCGCGCATCGAAGATAGTTATAGCCCTGATCCCCAAGCGGCATAAAAAGTAGATCGAGATGTACTACAACCCCCACCTCTCGCTCTAGCCTTGGATGCAGCGGCTCTCCTTGCCTTAAACGGGATCTCTCCTGGCAAGGTATGCAAGATCGACAGAATTTTTCGACCATGTTCATCATCCCATCCCAATAGTACAACTCACTTATCTTGGCATACGTGGCTTGTACCCCTCGATACGCTCCTGCAATGCCATCGTGAAGCGCTGCTACGACATCGATCTGATGATTCCTACCGCAGACGACTCTCCTAGGATTCCCCACTTCTCTTCTCACAAAAAGGTGGCCGTCTTGCACTAAGTAGCGCTGCAGCATCCTCTGACTCTATCGCTTGCATCCCTAAGCCGCATTTCACATGACAGAAGAAGCCCCAACTCTAGGTAGATTCCGTCATACTCCTCTGCACGAAAAGCCTCCTTAATCTCCCCCTCCTCGAACTCGTCGTCCTAGCTCTCGGGCACTTCGCCCACATTCCCTGTCGAGTTCAACGGGCCTGACTGGCTGAGGCTGTCCTGCAATAGCGTGTTGACGAAGGGATACTCCCATCAGGTTCTCATGCCGTTCTACTTGGCCAGGTCCTTCCTCAATCGTCCTCACGTCCTCCACCAGGCTATGCGAGCTGGCCAGCGCTAACTCCATCATCCACTGAACACCGTTACCACCCCAGAGATACTCTTCTTCAAAGGGTTTGAGGACTATCTTGGCCCTCCTTTCATACCTATTTGGCGCTTGCCAGATAGGATAGCCTACACAGCTGGGCACTCGCGGCGACCACTTGTTGATGTGGAGACGAACATCTTCTTCCTGATCCAGAAATTCATCAACTGGGGGCGTATTCTCCACCACTTCCCCTTCCTGTTTATCCCAGTTGATCCGACTCAGCCCGCCCGCCCGGTTCTTACTACCAGGAATCCGTTCCAATTCGAAATTGAACATCCAGATGTACGTCAGCCATCTGGCAACCGTTGGATCCGATGGAACGTAATTCCTTAGAGAGTAGGTCAGGGCGGTCAGATCCACTCTCAAAATAAACCTCCTGCCGAAGATGTAGTTCCGGAAGATTCGACGACAGTGGAGGACGGCAAGGGTCTCCCTCTTGAACTGAGAGTAGTTCCTCTCAGTCGTACAGAGAGTCCGACTCTCAAATCTCAAGGGTTTTTCCTTTTCCTCTATGTCTGCGTGGATTAGAACTCCTCCTAAGGCAGTTGGCCCCACATCTGTTTTGACAATGAAGGGTTGTGTTTCTGTGGCATCATAATCCGGCGCTCCTAACACCAACCCTCCTTCTCGAAATTCCTCCTTCATTCTGGCCACCACCTCTTCTTGCTCTTCACCCCAAACCCATTCCTGATCCTGACGGACTAACTTTCTCAGGTGTTCAGTCTTAGCGGCAAAGTTCTTGACGAAGGCCGTCCAAAATCCACACGTACCAAGGAAGCTCCTGACATTAGTTATTGAGTGGAACGGAACAGGCCACTCAGTAATCTTGTCTGTCTTCTTCACATCCGGCCTTCGACCCTTCTCGCTTCATACGAACCCCAAAATGGTCGCTTCCCTCATGCAGTGTCTGGATTTGGCCCTGCTTGCCGTGAGGTTATGCTCCTCGAGCAGGTTTAGGACCTTTTCGAGGTCCTGGATGTGCTCCCAAACAAAGCGCATTACCCCTGGCGAGACTTCGTCGCTCTCTTTCACCGTCGGCCCCTTTACTGCCAAATCGTCGATGTATGCCTGTGTGATATGGGGGCTGACTGACTACATAGCCCAAATCATGGCCCGTTCGACCATTGCTACCGCATTGGTCCAACCTTGTGGGGCCACGTTCATGTGGATTAGCCCTCGCGGCGTGTGCATAGCCGTCACAGACCTGTCCGGCGGGTAGACTGGGAACTGATCATATCCTAAGTAAAGGTCTATAAGCGAAATTATAGGTCTTCCAACACATGATTCCGACAGCGCGTCCGCATTGGGCAATCCTCCAGCATCCCGCACAGTCACCGCATTCAGCCTCTGCAAATCTTGCACCCACCGCAACGTCCCGTTAGGCTTGATAAAGCAGAACCACGGGAATGTATACGGTCCACTCGAATAGTAGGCGACATGCGTATGTATCTTGTCGTCGAGGTAATCCACCACTTTTTTCTCCTCGTCAGGATTAGGATACCGCGCACCTCTCATGTTCCAATGCTCGTGTGACACGGTGTGGATGCGGATCAAAGGTATTTTGTCCTCATCCAGCCTGCCATGCTCCTCGTCGCTAAACGCATAGGGCGATGCCTCCTTTTCATCAACTCCACCATCAACGCTCGCTCCTGAGGCAGTAGGAAGTCGGGTTCCCCTATAATCAACTTCCCCTCGTTCCCTTCGTTGATACGACATGGCCCTGCTAGAGCACTCTCCCTCATTCGCCGTATCAACCCTCGTTCCCTCTCGTAGTATGCTTCCTCATCTTCTGTAACGAGGACGGGAACCGGGCGACATTTCTTATCTACCGTCTTGTACTGCCTTTGGGAACCCTGCTTGAGCCGCCCCCTAAAAACGGTCGGCTCTCAGATTCAGTCTGTGCTGATGCGGGGCTCCTCTCGCCGCCCGGAAGCCGATATACCAGCTCCAACCTCCCTGCCTCGGGGCATTCAAGAACTTGCTCCCTCAAAGCTTGGATGACATCCGGATCTGCCATTTCATGCGCGGCCACTAAGTCCATGGCTTTCCCAACATCTGACAGGCTGAGGGAAAATGCCTCCACTTTCTCTTCTCCTTCTGGCTCTGCCCGGAACCTCCGACGCTCACTTTCCGATTCTTCAATCGTGAAGGATCCTAGATTGGGCCGGTTTCTTATACTCCTCGGTCTTGTGTTCCTGCAGGTAATTATTTTGTAATTTCCGCAGGCAGGGTCGCATAAGAGGAGGATTAACGTCCCGTCATGCTTATTGAATATCACGGTCTCCGTCCTGCTTAGGAATGACCTCCCAGGAGGATTCCGTGATCCACGTCCGGCATGATGAAGAAGCAAGCCCGGGCCTTCACCTTTCCAACCTCGATGAGTACATTCGAGGTTGTCACACAAAATACGGCCTTGCAGCTGGCTCCGTGCAGAATACCGCAGTCGGAACGATCTATATCCAGCCCGAATCTGATCGCGTCCGCCTCCCGAATAATGTTCATCTCTGCCCTGGTGTCCACCATTGCTGCGCACTTGGAACCCTTCACCACCAAATCCACCGTGCCGCAAGCTATGCACTTCCAGTCCATCTTCGTAATTGACTTCTGCCTCTTTGGGCAGGATCGTACCCCGATGGACATTGGACACCAGGCGCCGCGACAATCTCCCCTTCAAATCATCGCGGAGTCGCGGGGCCGACGCTAGGATTTCTTTCAGAGTCATGAGGTCATTGTGCCCTTCTAGCAGCCGGTCGATCACTTTCTCCACGTCAAACCCCTCCTCCAACCGAACCGCATACTTCTTCCTTTTGGGCGGTCCATCACACATGACTGGCTCGACCTCTCCTCTGGTTCCCTTTTTCCTTGCCCGCTGCTCCGCTCTCTAATCCTCCTCCCTGCGCAGCCTCTCGTCCTCTTCCTTCTCATTGTCGTCATCCTTCACTTCCACAGCCTCCTTTCTTTTTCCTGGCTCCAGCTCTCTCCTTGGAGGCTCTTGGCTGGCGCTGGTTTTGGCTTGACTTCTCGTTCGTGATGCCTGCACCAGCCGGGCCTGCGGAGTGGGGGGTCTCCCCATCATTCCCGATTGTGGGCACGACCCTACCACATTTATTCTGGGTCGCTCAGGCGCTGACTCCGGACCAGAGTTGTAGAGGAACACCTAAGGGATGTTAGACTTCCATTTCCTCACTTCCTTACAGAGGTCCACCAACTTCTGTTGGTACCTCCCCATCTTATCCAGCAGATCCTCCATTTTCCCCAACAAGACGGACGAAGGTTCAATCCTTTCTTCCTCATTCTCGTCATCTGACTCAATGATTATGGGCTCTTCCCCCTTACTTCCTCCTCGTAGCCCTTGAGTCACTTCCTCATCGCTTCCCACTTCCTCTACCCCAATCGGTGGTTCTTCCTTTTCCTGCCATAACCTGAACATGGTAGGGGGTGATGGCGAGCTGTCGCCCTTCGTTGGGCTTCTGCCCTCACTCCTCCAAGCCTTCTGTCAATGACCTCCCCAAACTGATCATAGATGTTCCCATCCATAGTGGAGGAAATTAGCCCGCTCCTCTCGTCTTCCCGTCTTATATTACAGAACCTTATAGTGTGGCCTTGCTGGTCACAATGTTGACAGATGGCCGTCCTCCAGTCAAAACGGGGTCTTCCATACCCCTAACTTCCCTGATCCCCCTGGCCTTGATACCCCTGGCCTTGGTACCCCTGGCCTTGGTACCCCTGGCCTTGACCATTCCATTGCCTTCCTCTTCCGGCGCCATTCCTGCCTCACCCCCTTCGTCCACCCCTCCCTCCGTTGCCTTGATTGCACTGCCCCTGGTTCCCACCTCCAGCCACGCTTCCCTGTGAACTGGGAGCGGGTGACGGTGGCGGTGCCACAGGCTGGGCCTGGGCTGCGAGGTAGATGGGTGGCGGCATACTCGTTTGAGGTCCGGCTACTGGTGGCGGGCTACCCCATGGTACGATTGCATTGATCACCGGTCAGGGCCACTGTCTGTAGGAGGGCGCCCCTCCTTGCGAGGGGCCCGTACTAGATGATGGAGCTGCCACATTCAAAGGGGTTGTTGTCAAGGCCTGAGGCGCCTGTGCTTTTCCTGATCCCTGTCCGACCTGTGCCAAGTTACGCACTTTGCGTTGGGCCTTCATCAGGCGCTGCGGCACCGACTCTTCCTCTTCCCAGAGTTCCTCCTGAACAGCCTCCTCTATCACCGGCTCCGTCCCTTTCACTTGGACAGCCGTTACTACCCTCCTTTGCACCACCGGCTCTGTCGCATATTCCAACTGTGCCAATACGTCTGTAACAATCCTTGTTACCCCCGGGATCCCAGAAGCGGTCGCATCTCTTTCCTTTGTCTTCTGCCTTTGGAGGCGTACCCGACGTCTGCGACATCTTGATAGACTTTTCCCTTCAAGTTCCGTGATAAGAAAGAAAAAACAAGTATACTTCTTTTATTCAGCATCGCAACTTGACCGATCTCTTCCATCCGTCCTTCCTAACTCTTACTATGTACCTTTACCCAATGCTACACGTCCGTCCTTCATACCTTTCCTTACTCAGGTAGGTAAATTTCCTCACCTATACTTAGTCATTCATTATTTTTCCTCACTTTTTCGCCCTTCCTTTATGCCTTTTCTCATTCACTTCTCATACCCGGATGTCGTTCCACCAGGGACAACGGTAGGCTTTCCGGTATCCCCGGCAACGGCGCCACCTGTCGAGCGCATCGGTCTTGCACCGCACCAGGGCAGCGCGGGACCCTCCCGGCCGCGTCACGCAGGAGTAGGTTTAAAAATCCTTCGTCGTAAAATGTACATGGAGCTTCCGCAAGCTGCTCCGGCCGAGTGAGCCAACCATACCTCTCGCGAGCCCCTACGACAGGATAGGGCCTACGAGAGGCACGACTTACCTACACCTGACGGGAGCTGTCACCTCCCTTCGGTGGGCGTATCCTCGCCGAGCTACCAGTTTACAGTACGAAAGCTAATCAGTTGCAATCGCAGAGGTGGACTAGCCGAGGACGTTTCTCGTTGGCTGTAGCATAGGGGGTACGCGCGGTAATACGCCTCAATCGGACCCGCACGCGAATCCGTATCTTGGGGGGCTGAGGTCCCAAGCGCAACCCGTCGTCGGTCGACTAGGACGTATCCCACACACCACTTGCACTCCACTTTACAAACACACGGATGCATAAAACAACACATATACGAAACGACGCAACACAAACAACGCGACAACGCTCCTAGCCCCTCGGTAGCGAACCCATAACTTTCTAATGCGGAAATCAAACAGGCGTAGCGCGCGAGACTTAGTATAAAACCGCGCGGACGCAGAATTAACTCGTATCGACTCGCAATGCAAGCGTACGCAAGCGGTCGCAATGATGACGTACTATGGAGTACCCATACTTACGCGGTCCTCGTTAATCGTGAGGGTCGCGTTCGACACTCATGTGCGGCTGACACTCGCCTAGAGGGTTAATCTCTTGACGCTGGACAACCGTCATGCGAGGTTGAAGACCACACCCTCTTCTGCACCCTGTGGCGGTCGAACATCAAGGGGTTTGACTTTGACGGCTGTCACGGACTATAACGTCCAACTATAAAAACTCCAAAGAGCAAAGGATGAAAAGGGATCTCCCTTTTTTCTCTCGAGCCATAATCTGGTTAACCCTTGCTCACGATCACTGTAAGTCGCGCGCATACCCGAGACACTTATAGATATATAAGGGTTAACTATATAGGACGATCACTTCTCACAGTCACAGTGAGGCTCCTCTCAGCCATATAAGTATGAAATCGCAGGCAATCACAACTAGAGTCTGAACCACAACCATACCTGCAATCACATCAACGAGTCAAATCAACAGCCCACGAGCTACACGGAGTCAACCCCAACCACCTACGACACTTATACCCCTTGCTTTAGCCATGCAAGCCCCAAACGTCCTGTCCAACCAACCTTAATTAAATACTCATCACCTTTGTTAAATGACCATTCAATAAAAGTCCGGGTGAAACCTTAATAAAACAACGAAATCACCAGGGCTAAAGCCTTTTAGGTTGAGTGTGGAGGGTGAGTCGAAATTGAGTCGTAGACCGACGAATCGGCAACCGGCCTGTTATCAGTGATAACAGAAAGTGATCCTCAAGGGATCAAGCTGGATCAAGCCCTGAACTTGGATCTAATGCTAAAAAAGAACTTTAACACACGACAGATCAATTCCCAACCTAAGATCATAAGAGTATGGAGAATACAACTCTATAATACATCCTCACTCAAAATCTCCTTATAAGCTAAACCTAAGTCTACTTTTAAATTAGTTGTTAAGCCAAAGGTAGACCAACTGCAGAATCTTCCCTATTCTGGGTGGATTTCCTGAATCACCACCTGTCAAAATATAATTTATCTCCTCTAAACTAAGAAAATTTCGGCATCGCTTCCCGTAGGAAAAGTGTCTTTCCAGAATTTATATAAGCCAAGATATGAGAGCAGAAATAATCTCTGACTCCTTGAAAGTCAAATTTTGTCTAACTCCCTGATTTAGTAAAAATTTGGGCAGCACTCTCTTTACAGAGGGAGACTTCCCAGATTTATACTAAGTCAGATTTGAACTCACAAGACAACTTCGGTTCAATTTAGACAAGATTTAACTAACTTCTTAGTTTTGCATAAATTTCGGCAGCACTCCCTCTAGAAAAGGGCTTTCCCAAAAATTTATACAAAGCGAGGTCCAGAACTTGAGAATAACTTTGACTTGTTAAAGTTCAATTTTGTCCAACTCCCTGAGTTAGTAAAAATTCGGGCAACACTCCCTCTAGAAAATGAGACTTTCCAGATTCTTACTAAGCCAGATATATGGAAAAGACAAGTTGAACTCTGACAAGTCAAAAGTTGACTAACTTCTTGGATTTGTAGAAATTTCGGCAGTGCTTTCCGTAGGAAAAGTAGCTTGCCAAGATTTATACAAAGCCAAGTATAAGAAAAAGATTTCAGAAAATGCAAGAATTGACCTAAGTAAAAAAAAATTATTATAGAAAATGCAGGAATTGACACTAACTCTTATGACTCTAGCACGTGGCGAGCAACTAAAGCGACTACCTATAATACTGAAACTCAAACAGACTAACCATCCCATCCAGTCAGTTGCAAACCAAACCACGAATGTAAGTACTCTCAACATCCCAAGTTCATTCCATATAAATAGTTCATGAATCTTCAAGTTCTTGAATTCTTATACCCATCTTACATAAGACATAGAGCTGGACCATTCGCCATGGAAACAATGACCCAGCTTGTCTTTATGATATACACGAACAGGTTGCACAATTACTTCTCTCTTCTCTTGGGCAGATGATCAGGCCATTCGCCATGGAAACAATGCCTAGTCGCCCTGTGTTGTTTAATATCAAAAATTTAGTTTTTTTCTGACTTTGTTTTCAAAAGAAAAGACAAATATGCGTAGGGGACTGAACCATTCACAGTAGAAACAATGTTCAACTTGCCCAAGCGATTTTCATTTATACTTTGTATTTTTCCTTTTCTCTTCTTAATGATATGGCTTAACGCTGGACTATTCATAGTAGAAACAATGTCCAACTGCTAGTTCACATGCAAATATACATAAAGTATTTTTCTTTATACTCAGTTTAATTTATGTGCGTGGTTTTCAGGCTAAACCATTCACCATGGAAACAATGCTTAGCCTTAGACAAAAAATCCTCCCTCAGAATAAACAAGAATTTAAACCCCTTCATTCATGCAAACCCTCAAAGTTAACTAGAGTAAACAGGTCATTCAAAGTAGAAACAATGTCTGGTCCTCCAGAAAACAACTAAATAAACATAGCAACCAGACCGTTCACAGTAGAAACAATACCTGGTCCTTCAGAAAACAGCCAAATAAACATAGCAACCAGGCCATTCACAGTAGAAACAATGCCCGGTTTTGGGTGACCCTTCCAAACGCATGCAAAACTGCCTTCCTCCCACCTTCCCCCAGTTCATCCTTAGTCTGCTTTGAATCAAAGCAAAGATGAAACTTAAGCTTCACTCTTACATATTCTTTCCATTTAGTCTGATTGGGTCCTGAAGAGAAAGCAATGATCATAG